TTAGGGGCAGCCACGCTCCTCCCTCAGAGAGCCAAGAAACTCAAGGGTGCCCGAGGTGGGTGGTAAAAGTATCCATGGGATGGGATATGGGATATGACAGCCCTCCTCCTCCATACGACTTCACCCTAACCCGTCAGGACCTATGATGCCCGTCAAGAATATGGAGGGAGGGAGCCATGTCACCGTGCCCACCTTGGAGTTAGACATCTCTCATCTTTGTGACATTTCACCTTCTCTGGGGACTGGAAATCATGGCATGTTGGAGGATATAAATGGGGCTAAGGGCTGTGTAAAGATGCTTTTGTCAAGGGTCTGGTCAGCCTGGGACCAGAAGGAAGGATTCCAGAGAGATCAGGGGGACAGGAAGAGGGAAAGAAAGAGACCAAGGGTCCCAGACAAGAGCAGAGGCCCCAGTGAAAGCCCCTGGGGTGGGCTGTCTGTGACCTCACAGATTGGACTCTACCCGGGAGGCTGTAGCTTCCAGAGTGGCACTTCCTGAGGAGCCCTCGCCCCCCGTGGGAGGCAGGCACCTTTGCTGAGGGTCCGGGCGAGCCCGAAGTCCAGAGATGATTGTTTAGCATTTTCCTCCACTCCCAGTTTTCTTCTCGAGGGGAAATGGACCCATGGAAGCCCAGCCCTGACAAGGGACTCATCTGTCCCATTCTTGTTTATTCACAAGGCAGGGGACATGGCCAGGGCATCTGTTTTATGCTTTTAGAGTGTGTCAACAGGGTCACAGCGAAAAAATAGCAGTGCTGGCCCCGGTGAGAAAACAGCAATGCAGGCCCGGGCCCCATCTGAGCGTGGGTCCCTGCAAGTCGACAGCACTGGCTCCCACCCAGTAAGAGAATGTCAGAAAGGGGAGTGGGCTGTGAGAAGAGCCTGAGTCAGTGGCATTGAGGACACAGTGCCGCGCGACGAGGGGGTCAGGAGCATCCTTTCCTCTATGAGGCCACAGGAGCCTGAGCCAGGATCCAAAAGTCTTGTGTGGTATCTGTTGATGCTTAGCCCAAGTAAGGCTCCACGGGCTCCATGGGAACAGTCACTTAGCCCCAACACACACACACACCCCATTAAAACTCACATCCAGACATAACACACACAGCACGCCATTGCACACATGCATGTCACACATCATACAGTGTACACACTGGTAACCTACCTACCCCTCCCCCACACACACATACCTACAACACATAGACTGCTAACACACACTCAGCCACACAGTCCTGCTGCTGTGGGGGCAATGATAAGTGGATGTGTCCTACTGAGGGCACTCTGGTTGTCCCTTGGAGCGGGGTGGCAGGACAGAGTTTGCACAGTTAGACTCTTGTTATGTGTGAGGGTGCCTTGTTCTCTCACTCACCCAACAGGCTGTATCTGTGGATGTCAAAGCCGGGGACTGGTGCTACCCTGGTTAGTTTTTATTGCCAGTTTGACATAACCAAGCGTCAGCCTGGGAAGAACCTCATCTGAGGGATTGTCCAAATCAGACTGACTTAGGGCTGTGTCTGTGCGGAATTGTCTTGGTTACTGACTGTTGTAGGAGGGCCCAGCCCACTGTGCAATAAACTGTTCATTGGGCAGATGGTCCTGGGCCAATATAAAAAAAAATAGCTAGGAGGGAGGCAGGAAGAAGAGCTCCTTTGTGGTCTCTACTTCAGTTCCTGCTTCTAGGCTCCTGCCTTGAGTTCCAGCCCTGATTTTCCTCAGGATGGACTGGTGTCAGGAACTGTCAGCTGGAATAACCCCCTCCCCTGAGTTGTTTTTGGTTGGAATGCTTAATCACAGCGACAGAAGGCAAAGAACAGGTCCTTTCCATCACCGGCCAGACAGAAGACCTCCACTATCTCATTAGCATAGGCTTGTGGGTGCCATGCCTAAGTCTGAATGCCAATGAGAGACTAGCCACCAAGGCCACTGCTTTCCTCTGCCAACCATCTCAGCATACCAACAATCCAGGGCATGCTAAATGGGCGATCTGTCTCGTGATCTTCATAACAGTCTCTGGGGAAGGATGAATAGGCATCTACCTTGTCTTGTGCCCTCTTGCCAGTGAAGAGTATAATTCACATTCCACTCACACCCCCTGCAATTTGCCTTCTGATTATGACTGAGTAGACTCTTACTCTAGATGTATCCACCAGACTGGCAAGGTGGGTGGGATTCTTTTTTTTTTTTTAGAAGAGCCGGGGCTGTCTCTGGCCCACCCAGGTGAGGTACAGTCAGGCTATAGGGTAGGATTTCTCTTTTATTGTTTGCTTGTTTGTTTCTCGAGACAGGGTTTCTCTGTATTGTTTTGGAGGCTGTCCTGGAACCCGCTCTGTTGACCAGGCTGGCCTCAAACTCACAGAGATCTGCCTGCCTCTGCCTCCCGAGTGCTGGGATTAAAGGCGTGCGCTACCACAGCCTGGCTTGGGTAGGGATTTCTTATGGTGGATCGTGCACCCAGGACACCAGAAGGAGGAGACAATCTGCCCATGAGGTGAGGAGAGAGCATTGCTCAGTTTAAACATCTCAGCACCATCCGCTTCCCGTACTGGGATGGGGCCAGATGGGTCAGTGGAATCTTCTCACAGGCCCAGCAGAGTCGGTACCCCAGAGCTGGGCCGTGGCTGTCATGGCCAACAGCAGCAGTGGAGAAGCAGAAGTTGCGCAATGGTGTCTCTCCACACGGTGTGGGAGATGACGGGCATGTGTGTCCCTCTGTAGGCTAAGACTGAAGCCCAACCAACCTTGGCCCTTGAGACATAAGATGACCTAAGTAGGGCATCGGTGGTGGCTGCAGAGGTCAGAGCATGTCTCTGGATTTACTGTCCAAGGAATAATATACCATACCCCACAATGTGGAGTTGCTTGATTTTAAATGACCTGATTTTTTGGCCTCTGCTTTGTGAAGGAAGAGCTTTTGTCCGTCGGAAGGTGTGCTGGAATCATTCCCCGTGTGCCCCTTTCCCAGGTGTGCTGGAATCATTCTCCCTGTGCCCCTTTCCCAGCCACTCTGCCTGCTGCTAACACAAAGGCCCAGAGGAAGTCAGAGTGAGGCCCTGGTGTGAGACCAGCACTGCTGCTCTGGGCCCACCTTTGATTGGAGGGGTGTGGCCGGATGCTCAGGGCGATTTGTATGTGCTGTGCGCATCCCTGCAAAGCCACCATTCTGGAAGTTGAAAGCACTTCTGTTCTAGAAAATGTCTTTCAGGAAACATCCAGTTGATTACCTTTTCAACTCTAGCTCTGCCGTTCCAGAGAAGTTTCCATCCAGGGATCACTTTAAAAGCCACAGAAACCAGCACATTCACGTCCCTCCTGTGGGTCCTGATAAGAGATCTTACTACAAAAGGGCTGTGCTTGCTGCCAAAGACAGCCCCTCTTTCTCATGGAACAGGTTAACTGCTTGGCTGCCTGTGCAGGGAGGGCCTCAAGGTGAAGACTTCAGTGCAGATGAAGCACAAGCGGATTCTAGCTCTCTCTTTTAGGACCCAAGCCCCAGATTGGTCGCATTTTCTTTTTTCTAAGAAAAGCCATGTGCGGAAAAAGACTCTTCCATGCACAAAGCCTAAGAGAAATCTACCTTAAAATAGTTTCATGTGGGAGAGTGAAGCAGCATGTTCCACGTGGAAATAGAACGCGGTTGGTCATGATGAGTTACATGCTGGATTCCCATCCTAGCTGTGATCCGGGAGGCACCGCTGCGTTTGGCTCTTCTGTGGAGGGAGCAAGTCTGAGCAGGGCGGAGTGGGCGGAGCTACTCCTTCTAAGCCCCCTGTTTACCCAGAGGAGGGCCTGCAGCAGAGGCCTGCTGTCTTCAGGGAGGTGGCTCTAACCACAGGCCCCATGGCGGCAGCATTTGCTCTGTTTCCTCCTCTTCTCATCTTCCATTCAAACTAGTTAATCGCCCGGCTCCTTTGTGTGTGTGCTAATTCTACCTGCACAGGTTCCATCTTCAACTTCAAGGCCAGGAGGTGGGGCTGGGTATGCTGTGGGAACAGCAGGCAGGCATTGCCCCTGAGGGTTGTTCCTGGGCAAGGTCCAGGGCTCTAGATCAGGTCCTGTCTGTGTTTGGGACAGCAGCATGGGAGTATTATAGTGATTGCTTTTACTTCTCTCATCTCTGAAGTTACAGAGATTTCCTTCTCTATGTTTTTTTACACTCAATTGTATTAGTTTTAATTGTGTGTATGTATGTGCGTATGCATGTGTACATGTATGCAAGTACCCAAGGGGGCAGTAGTGCCACCTTTCCTGGAACTGGAGTTACAGGCGGTCATTAGTTGGGAACCAAACTCAAGTCCTTTACAAGAGCAGTCCTCCATTAGCGGCCGAGCCATCTCTCCAGCCTCTGGAGTTTTCTTTTTCTTTCTTTTTTTTTTTCCAAGCCAAACCGATCCAGCTTTATTAAAGATATTTTCCATAAACAATCATGGTATTTTCAGGCAGGACATGGGCAGACAATCATTAACAGTTTACAAGAACTTCCAAACTCCCTTCTTGTATGGACTACCAAAATCAGAAAGCCACTATAAAACTCGGTCTTCATTCAATGTTTTGAAAAGGGGAAGAGCTTAGAGTGAGGGTTGACATTTCACATTAAGGATGTTGTTTAACAACTTTTCACAAGCCGACCCTGACTTTCAGGAAATGAAACAAAAACGGCAGAAATATCAATCTGAAGATCCACAATCTTGTATATAAAAGGAGCGCTGCTCTTTTGAGGTTATCATTTTCACCGCAAAGTCCAGATTGCCCAATAGACCAGCAAAACCAATTTTGGGGGGTTAGGTTCCAACAGGTCTCTGGTTTTAAGGGAGTTAAGTCTATGTTGATGGTACAGGGGGAAGAGGTTATAAAAATGAATTTAGAGTTTTCCCACACAAGGCGTTCTCTGCCATGGTGGCTACATATGTCAACACCAGGACGTCTCTCCTAGGCCAAGAGGAGACTTTCTAAATTGTCAGGAAAAGATGTTTTCCATCACTATTATCAATCCAGCTTAGGAGACATGTTCCTTTCCCCCCAAAACAATGAAGTGTTCTGTGTGCTAACAACATAGCTTAAAAAGAAAAAGTAAAACAAAATTCTGCATTTTTATAAAACTTGATAAAAATAGTATTTCAAACTGTACAGTCACCAGAAGTACACAGTTATCAAAAATGTACACATTTTCACTTGGCATCTCCAGTACCTTCAGCTTTTTGTGCCTGGTCTGTTTTGGCGTCTCCATTTTCTGCAGGATTATTTGCATCCTTGCCAGCATCTGCTTTCCCCTTCTTCCCCTTGGGTACTTTCTCTCCCTTCTTTGCAGGGGCCTTTTTAGGCTTGGGCTCTGGCTTTGGAGGAGCAGGTTTAGCAGACAACCTTGCAGATCTTCTCTGTGGCTCGTCCTTCACCTTGCCTTTATCTCCTTTAGTGTCCCCTTCAGCCTTTCTTTTGGGCATGGCAGCGGCGGGGGACGTCGGCGCTGAACGCGGGGATGCAGCAGTGCGCGGGTTTGGTCCTTCCAGGGGTCGTTCTCGCTGCTTCTTCCGAGTTTTCTTTTTCTGATGGAGGGATCAGTTCTCTACACTGGCTAGTGCAGGGACTTGGTAGAAGCCATGACTCAGAACTGAGTACATGGCCTCCATATAGCCTGGAAAGACATTCTCTGGGGACTTTGCTTCCGTGCTAACTGTTCTGGTCATGACGAGTCTGCGAAGGAAAAGGCAGTGGGGGACCCTGGGGTTCTCTCTGTGCCGCACTAGTGACAGTCTTGTCAGCTCTGTAGGGTTCTTATTGTCACAGTCTGGTTTCACAAGGCTGGCGGTTGTTGGGGCTCCTCTCTGTGGCCCATGGATACTGCAGTCCCAAACTCCAAGTGTCCTTGTCCCTTCAAACTGTGAGTATCTGTCTCTTACATTTTAAACTTTGTTCTGTGGCTCAGAACTCCCCCAATAATTCCCCTGGGGCAGGTAAAAGAGCTCCTCATCCTGGGATCAGTGCATGTGAGTCCTCCCCAGCCCCACAAACCTCCTTTACTGACTGTCACTAAGGACAAGAGAACGGTGAAGATGCTCAGGGTGCAGGCTCATGGACATGGCTCTCCTCTGAGGTTCATGAATACAGCCATGCCTGTTCTGCCTTTCCAATCTGGATAGATGATCACCAGAATGCTGACATTTTACTAAGACACACCCATAGGTCGTAGTGCTATGGTAGAGGGAGCAGGAGTGGGTTGATTTCCCCTCTCCAGGTTTAATGGTTAACCGGCATAGCTCTTCAGCTTGCCCTGTTTAATTGACTGTTTAACTTAAGAAATGGAGATCTCTGTGGGAGTCTAAATCTGCAGGTCAATAAACAAGCAGCAGAAAGTAGAGCCTTGGCCCCTGTGGCCCGGGTGTCCTTTGCCTGTGTCACCTGCAGGTCAGCAGGCTCTGTCTGCTCCCTGATAGCCTTTGCCTGGCCTTCGAGCCTGTGGCAAGCGTGGGTATCATTCCTTCCTTAGACTGGAGGAGCATGAAAAGACAAAGCATGGTCTTTAGCTTTCCTCTCAGTGTCTCCAGCCCTGAGGCAGTGGAGGTTGTGACATGTCTGCTACTGAAGAGAAAGAAGGAAGCTCCAAGGACAAATGGATGATGTCTGCGGCTCTGTGGAAAGAAACACTGTTGCTGGCCTGGAAAGAAACATTGTTGCTGGCCTGGAAAGAAACACTGTTGCTGGCCTAGAAAGAAACACTGTTGCTGGCCTAAAAAGAAACATTGTTGCTGGCCTGGAAAGAAACACTGTTGCTGGCCTGGAAAGAAACATTGTTGCTGGCCTAAAAAGAAACATTGTTGCTGGCCTAGAAAGAAACACTGTTGCTGGCCTAGAAAGAAACACTGTTGCTAGCTTAGAGAGAGATACTTGCTGGCTTAGATAGAGACACAGTTGCTGACCTAGAAAGAAACATTGTTGCTGGCTTAAAGAGAAACACTGTTGCTGGTCTAGGACTGCTGCTTTTGTTAGTAAACCAACTTCCTCCTCCCCAGTAAGAAACAGCATGGACAAGAGTAAAACGTTACCTTCTATCTTTATAAAATCATGCTCTGGGCTGAGCCAAGCAGGAGTGGAAGGATCAACCGGTTCAAGTCTTTACCTTGAAGACTGAGAGAGAGTCTGAATTGGGATCACCAACCAGGGGCTCTTGTCCGGAGTAAGGGTGAGGTTCTGGGGATGTGCTCTCCCAAGGATCGATCCACCAATCTCCCACTCCTGAGTCCCCACTTCACACATCATCAGGTACAATCTGCTCATCTGTCAGTCACACATACTGTGGTGTTTGATCACGTGGCCTGCTGCATACTTAGCTCTCTCACCTCTGTGCCTTCTGCTTTGACAGATGTCTCCCTCACCTCTGCTGGGGCCAACAGTGTAGCTGGACTTCACTGCTCCATGGTCCCTTTGACCCCATTCTTCTCAGGGAGATGGAGTCTCTACCTAGTGGACAGGGATATTCACAGAATCACATCACATGTAAAACATTTCTATTTACTACCAGCATTCTTCAAACTGAAAGGCTTCTTTAGTCTTATAGGGAAACACTTAGCTTGCACCTTAATCTCCAGGACTTCCTAAGGCTGAGAAGCCAGCACACAGAGGGGAGTTGTGTTTGTGCACTGGAAAGCAAACCTTCCTGGTATTCGTGCAGTCACAGCAGCAGCGCTAAGATAGGCTACACCTGGCCCAAGTTTACACAGCCAGTGGTAGAGAACTGCATGGGTGACAATCTCTGTGAGGATGAGGGCACTTGGGCTGGCCTGAGCCACCCCAGGTGCTCATGCCAGTTCGTGGTTAAGACACTCCTCTGGCCATCAGGCAGGCAAGGCTAAGCAGGGCTGGCAGGTTGATGGCTGTGATGAAGAGCATATTTTCCTGTCTTTAACCCATCTGAGGGACTTCCGGGCACTCACAGACACTGGTCCATCTTAATTCAGATATCCTCAGTGTCCTGAGGGTTGCAGGTAAGACTTTCTCATTTCTTATTTCTATTCCTGCTCGAGGTGAGCAGGAAGATCTGCTCTTCACAAAGAAAAGTGATGAAGAGAAGCCCAGAGCCTAGGACAGGTCTGTTCCTTTCTCTGCTCTTCCAGGGCAGAGTTTCAGGGTGCACAAGGAATCACTTAAAGTGGGGATTACAACCCAGCTCTAGGACAGCCTGAACTACTTCGTAGTCCCCAAGCAGTATGTAGCTTCTGGGATTTAGAAACCACTTTCTTTCCAGGGATCAGGCAGCAATTCTCTGTCTTTGTCCCCTTCTGGGGGTTATTTAGCGCTGATGAAGGCCAAGGGCTCGGGGCGGCCTTCAGGAAGGAAGGAGACTAAAAGGTTGCGTGGAGCTCTGGAAGGAGATGGAGTTAAAAACCTAAGTTTTCCCCTGGTCATCGCCTCACTCAGGGAGGGGGCCACTCCCTGCGATCACTGGGAACGTGCTAAAAGCAGGGCCAGGTGTGCACATTAATCGCTAGGTGCCTTACTTACACATATCTTTTTCCCAGCCACCTTTGAAAATAGATGGGCTGAGCAAAACCGGGATTTTCAGACAAGCCCTTAGGGACATTTTCTGGGGCTTCAAAGCCTCCCAGAGGTAATTGTGAAAGTAGATGGAAACTGTGCCCACATGTAGATCCTGGCTGCTGGCACAAGCCCAGGGCTAGCAGGCAACCACCGCCCTGCTTGGAGTAAACCCCAGAAGAGATCGGCTTGGTACAGTCAGCATTAAGACTTCCCAACATTTTTTTTTACCCAAAGACTGGAAAGTATGCGTCTTTGGGGGTTGTAAATCGGGTTGCAGCAATTGAATTATTTCAATGTTCTACAACGTGGGATGTGTGTGTTTTTGAGACCTGGAAGTTTATCGTTATGGATGACCAAGATCAAGATGACACTGGTGTTCTTCAAGAAATGCATAAACCACTGTCTTTCAATTTCTTTTTAAAGTTATATAATAAGCTCTACCCTCATCTTTGTTTGCCAAACTAGGAAAATCGCATCAACTAGGCTGGCAGGATTCCCAAGTTGCCTAGCCCCGAGGAGCGGCATCCGGTCCCAGCCCACCGTTATGATAGTTGCTCTCCACACTGCCCCTGAGAGTGTTGTGGTCCTACACTTTCTGTTCCCTGCACCACAGAAGGCTAACTCACAGTGAAATCTCCTTTTCCACTGTGTGACGTGGTCGCCAAGGATTCCAGCATCTCTCAACAGCTGGGGCCCCACCCAGCCTGGCAGGGTGAGGCCTTCGCGGGCCCTGGCTCAGCCTCTGGGATTTAGAAATCACTCTTTTCTAACCAAGTCCAGCTTTGAATCCAGTTGTTTCACACGTTTTTAAATCCTTTTGTGGAAGTGGGCAGGGACGCCTCTGGCCAAGGGGCTGAATCTGGTACTGACTGAAGCTAGAAAGGGAACATGGACCGATGCAGCCGAGAAAGGATTCACTCTGGAGAGAGCCGCAGAAGCAGGGGACCCCCCCAGGAACCTCAGCAGACACAGCAGCCATGCTGGCATGCTCCTTCAACATCAGACACTTGGCTTGGGAAAATGTGTTTTCCATTTAAAAATAAAATGTAATATAGTCCATCACTTTGTACTCTATTATGTTATTACTGACACACTAAGGGAAAGAAAACACTCATGCATGTAGCTCGGGGGAGGGGCAGGGGCAGAGGAGCTGCAGTCCCTGTGTCCAGTAACTCAGAGCTGGGGTGCTAGCATCCATATGCTTTCTCTTCCTGTAGGAGAGCACTGCACACCTTCTTTTGAGAGTCACCACCCCTTAGCAGTTGGAAAGTTCCAGAAGGCTTTTTCAGTAGGAGTCTCCTAGAGGTAAGCCCCAGTATTTTCATTCCTGACGCAAAGGTGCCTAGGTCCACCTGTACCGAGCCACAGTAGCCGGTGGTGGTGGTGGGAGGCAGGGCCGGGGTGAGTCATACAAGTGGCTCCAATTGCTCCTGGCTCTGTAGTCCCTCGCTCATCTGCTAGGTGACCCTGGGCACGTCACTGGCTTCTACTCTGTTACCTGTGTTGCTGTAAATCTTGAACTCTGGGGTGATTGGCTATGTCTTCCATCCAGGCTACCCCATTCTGTGGGGGAGGGGTAGGGAGGAAACTAAGGAAGCCCTGCTCAGCCCTTCCTTCATGGATTAAGTCCCCATCTTCTGAGGCTGCAGGGGAGTGAGAACCATGGTATGGGGGATCTGCACCATCTGCCCGGGCCACTTTGCACACCCCAATGCTATGGTAAAGGGAAACCCTGGCTATGTCTCAAGAATGTCGCGGACCAGTCAATATGGCATCGATAATGGGAGGCTCCAGCTCACCTGTCACTATGGCAACCAGGACAGAAGGCATCACTACTGCAAACCAGAGGCACATGATGGAAGGAGGCAGGCTCTGTCTGCTGTCAGTGCATGCTTTGTTCATGGGAAGCAGGACAGTGCTGTCCTGTCACATGTATGTGGAAAGCAGGAAACACAGATCCCGTAGTGTCTGAGCCGTAGCCATGGGTAGGA